AATTTTTGTTCAATAAAAATCTTTCAAATGCGACTGTAGTTTTTTTTTCCACAAAACTTTGTCTTCAAAATAAGGATGTGTCTTATATTCTGGAAAATACGGTATACTGATGATTAGATCAGTAGTTAAGTTTCAATTTAATTTGAAAAATTAAATAATGCTATATTTTTACAAACTATTACTTTTGAATTTCAAAATTTTACAGTCAGTATTCATTCTAGTGGCTATTAGCTTTTGTTTGAAACTATAAACATTTAGCTTATTTCTACAGATTATTATTTGGAATCCTAATACTGGAAAGCAAATTGGTAGAACTCTGACAGGCCATAATCAGTGGGTAACTTTTATCTCATGGGAGCCTTTACACAAGTAAGTTCATCCATCAGTACAATTGTCTCAATATTAAATTTTTCGACCTTTTATGTGTAACTTGATGTTACCTTGCTAATCACTAGGCTTTTTTTTAATTATCCAACTAGAACTTCCATTGCATAAAACAGTCACCTAACTGGTGAATATGTTTTAAGGTTGATTTGGTCACTAGTAAATGATTGTAATTGTTCTATGATAAACCACAGAAGGAAATTAATCCAAACTAACCCTTGAGTTACTGGGTATATTGTCACTTTCTAGAAGTTTTTCATCTTTGGTGAGCAAAAAGTGATTATTAATCATATTATTAATATCAGCATTGTAGTTTTTGCAAGATACATGCTGAAATTTAGTGGAGCTAAAATTCTGACAGATTATACATACCTGTTACAACTGGTTTATATGTAATATTGATACAGTAAACTTGTATTTATAAACATGAAAATCTACAAGATACAGTGTGAATTATAAAATTAATTTCCTCCACAAAATTTATAACTATACTAGTACAAAAGACATTTTAATAATTCATATGTTAAATGCTAAGATATAACTATTTTGTTTCTTGAATATACAACCTTTTTATTTTAATTGTGAAAGAAGAGATGTTAAATTATTTTTACCCTAGCTTACTTCTGTGAAAACAACCTAATTAAATCGAAAGAAAATTGTTTTTAACAAACTTGTTCGTTTTTGTAATTAATGAATTTTTTCTTAATAACAAATTTAATTTCAATAAAGACAGAATTATTGCTATTTCCTATTACTTATTAGGAATGGTGACTGCCGGCGTCTGGCCAGCTCTTCTAAAGACACAACCATAAGGATTTGGGATACGATCCTTAGCCAGACTCTCTTTATTCTGAGTGGCCATACCCAGAGTGTCACATGTGTAAAATGGGGTGGAATGGGTCTTTTATACACTTCATCTCAAGATTGCACTGTAAAAGTATGGCGAGAAGATGTAAGTTTAGAATTTAATCTTGGCAGAATATCTATGTGTGATGTTGCTTAGAAAGATTGCTTTCTAGATTTGTTGAACTGAAGAATAGAATTATTTCAGTCTTTATCTTCCTCTTTGTTTTGTGCATAGTTTAACACAAACTAGTTAATATGTTCTTCTATGGCTTATTTACTAGTAATTTATTAGCATAAAAATACTTTGTCTTTAAATAGGGTTGTAAAATGTATTTTCCAGTTATGAAAATACTTTATTGATATATCATACAGGTAAGTTAGAACTGAGAAAATCATAATACTTCCTAATCCCTCTGAACTGTCAGAGGCTTGATTTTTTTTTTTTTTTTTGCATTATGTGACTTTGCATGCTTACTACTGTATTTTTCAGTCATCTTGTGTGTAAATGCAATTTGTCATTGAAGTTTTTATCACTTAGATTGTTAAGTTCTTAGGCAAGAAATAATTTTATTCTTATTTTTAGTTTCTATATTAGGTCTAGTGAAACAACTTTAACTATATTTTCTCAGTTTATTTTGTATCAGAACCATGATTCAGGATTGCAGAATCTTTTGTATCATGATGAGTTAAAATGTTATGATTTTTGTTGTGTATGACCTGATAGTTAATGTGCCAGACTGTGAATGTGAATGTCCATTGTTGACAACCTGTTGCCAAAACACTCACTCAGCAGTTTAGGGCGGTGGGTGTATTATAACCAAATAGTCAAAACCCATTGTTTGATTATGAGTAGTCTAAGAGTTAGTTGTGGATGGTGTTGTCAGTTGGTTGAACATTAGTAAAACAGTGGTAAATACTTAAAATTCATGAGATTTTCATTTTCAACAAAACCTTTATCCAATGTTGACAATACACCTTCCTCTAGATCTAATACTAAAGATTTCACCTGAAAAAAACAAACAAAGTAATTTGTATAGAGTTTTAAATATTGTTTAAAGTTTCACTGTTTCTGAAATTTCTCTTATTTTCAACTCTGTTTACATAATATTTATAACAAAAAAAATGGTGGTTACACAATTTCTAAATTTATATCTGGGTGTTTGTTGTTTTAATATTTTTTGTAATATTTTATTTTGGGTCTCCATTCTATGCCCCACTTGTTGATTTTACACGCCAGATGTGCCCTCATTATTATTTGGTGCAATTCTCCCTTTCAGTCCTAACTGGATCTATTGTTATTAGGATATAATATCAGCAAAAAAAGACTTGAAAGAAGCTTGTGACTCCTTGTTGTTTTATATACTAATGAAATTTGTAAGTGGATGGGAAACAAAAGTTAGAAGATGGAAGCTTATGATTTGGTCATAAGATGGTTCAAACATTGGCTTTTCTTTACAAACATTTCAATGATTTTTTTTCCTATCAGTATTTTATTATATGATACTCTTTAAATATGGTAATTCTTTAAAAATTAAATTGTAATGAAAATAGAAAGTGTGTGAGTGTCAAATATTTTGCATTTTTTGTTAAGGAAATAGGCTATTTAACTACAGTAATAGTACTTTTATGAAGAGTAGGATGGGTTTTCATTCTGTTTTATGTTTCTTATTAAATTTCAAAACACTTTGAGAGTGAATTTTTATCAACTATTTTTCCCCCTACATTATGAAACATTCTAAATCTTTATATAGAAATAAAAGCTAAGTCTATTATAAACTATGATAACGTATACAAATAGGGCATTGCATTTCTTGGCCAACATTATGTCTCTACCACAGTGGTTAAAGACATTGATAACAGGTCACTGTTAGTTAGACTTGCTTCATGAAGATTGAAAGGTGAGTATTATTGATGATGAAGGAAGTTAGAAAGCTGTAGGTTTTTTACTACATTATGAAACATTCTAAATCTTTATATAGAAATAAGAACTTAAGTCTATTATAAACTATGATAATGTATACAAATAGGGCATTGCATTTCTTGGCCAACATTATGTCTCTACCACAGTGGTTAAAGACATTGATAACAGGTCACTGTTAGTTAGACTTGCTTATATGTTAAAATATTCATCTTTGGCACACCTTTTTTTTTTTTTTTTTTGCTAGTTAAACTTTGTCATGATAGAAAGCTCCAACAAATAAATTGAAACTCATCGAAAATAAATGCAATAAATATCTAAAATTCTCTTCAGTTTTACTTTTATAGTTCATTATGTATTTTTTATTATCTTAAATGACTAAAGTTTTATGAACCTATACATGTGTATTATAATTTCATTATATATAATCCTTCATTATGGTTTATAAGGGTCAAAAGTTTGAACAAGTGAGGTAATAGTATTAGAAATTAATTATGTCACTATAGAAACTTTATTAAAATTGTCTTAAAATTAAGGTAGATGTAAGTGTGCCAATGATTTTGTGTATTTTGTTAGGCCTTAGTTTCACCAAGGTGTTACATATATATTTGTAAAAATATTTTCTCTTAAGGTTATTCTATAGACAACAGAAGTTTATGAAGTCCTCTAGTTGATCTAGGTTGTTAAGTCACACTACATGTCATCATTAATTAAAAATTCAATAAATAATGTAATTGAAGTATAAAATTGTGTCTTTAGTTTTTTTGAAGATGCTTGTATAATCTATCAGGGTGTACTGTGTAGAACACTTCAGGGACATGGTCACTGGGTGAACACGTTGGCACTCAACACCGACTATGTCATCAGAACAGGAGCATTTGACCCTACCTTAATGGCTATTTCTTGCACAGATTTGTCTGATTCAGGTTTGTAAATAAGAACTGTGTATGTTGTTTAATACTTTTTTTATGTCTTTTTAGATTAAACTAATTTCTTTTCTGTAACAAAATATCTAAATTTCACTGATGTTGCCTGCAGTTTAAGAATAATTTTCCCACAACATTTCTTTGTGAACTCATTTATTATATGCAGCAAATATAATGTTCCTTAAAATTGTACAACTTTAATATTGGACCATATTTTCTGGATTTCATTAACTATGTGGTTAATAGTGCATTCTATTAAAAGATTAACTATTTAACTTATAGACAACCTTCTCACAATGCTTTTATGATATTGTTAGTTTGAAATGCAAGTGTAAGAAAAGATCCTTGCTTTTGATTTGTAAGGTAGGATGTATTCTATGTATTGCTTTTTTAAGTAGTTGTTTATGTACATATAAAATTAATTTATTCTATATAATTGAAAGTATTTATACACATTGGTCCAGAGTCATTTTTTTGTAGTTTAGTGGTTCAGATCTTTTAAGTTTTATGGTTCTTCCATAATTTTATTTTTCTAGGTCATGCAATAGGCATTTTTATATAAAATTGTTTCTGTAAACAAAATATATAAAAAAATCTTAATTTTAATAAGGAAGATCAGGTTTGTGAATTTTCTGGAAAAATTCAGTTGTAAATTAACAAGGTTTCTATACTAAGAAATGTATTTTAGTTTAGTATAAAAATTATTTGACATCTATTAATTTCATAAAAGATAAAACTGTACATTTTGTATTATCTTGCCCATTACTGTGAGGTTCATGTTTTATACGTATCTATTAAGAAGTTCATGTAAGTTAATTATTGCATAATTTTTCAGATTGGACTGTGAAGTCTGCAATATTTTACTTTACATTGATTAAGACAAAACAAATTATGTGAAAAGACTTACCATATTTTAGAGTAAAATAAAGTTCATCTTCAGATTTTTTCATTGTACAAATTAGTTGAAAATGTTCCATTGTCTGAAAAGGTTCAAAATTCTTGAGCCACACATTGCAGCACTTTTTAACTGACATTTTGTTTTATTCTATTTACCATTATAGAACTTCAAGAAAAAGCTTTGGAAAGATTTCATTCAACAAAAGTAAGTTGTGCAAATGTATCCAACTTTACAAATATTCATCACTTAACACCTGTGTATGAAGAGTATACTGGAATGGATGGCAACTGACTGTTAAAATAAAAAGTGTAGAGGACAATGTTTCCAAAGTCTTTCATCTTCAGGTCCTGAAGATGAAAGATGGAAGACTTTTGAAACATCATCCTTTATAATTGTTTTCTTGCCGTCCATTCCAGTATACTCATTATGAATACTCTGCCTAAACAATCTATCAGAGAACACCTGTGTATGAAATTTCTAAATTTAAGTATAAATAATAATAATAACTATTTGAATAACATTAACTTGAAAATATTTTAGATCTGAGAATTTGTCATTTTGTAGCATTTATTTAGTATAATTTGCAAACAAAAATGAAAAAGTTTAAACTTATATTTGTTTGAAGCTGTGAGAAGTATAGAAAGAAAAGCTAAGTCTCTTATAAACTATGATAATGTATACAAATAGGGCATTGCATTTCTTGACCAACATTATATCTCTACCACAGTGGTTTAAGACATTGATAACAGGTCACTGTTAGTTAGACTTGCTTCATGAAGATTGAAAGGTGAGTATTATTGATGATGAAGGAACTTAGAAAGCTCTAGGTTTTTTAAAAGTTACATTACCAAGATTGCTTAGTTCTGATTTAATTACATTAATATTAAATAAGAGAGACTGGATTTCTCTGATGTTAAAATATTTATCCTTGGCAAGCTGTCAACTCTGTTTACATAATAGTTACAACAACAAAAAATGGTGGTTACACTATTTCTAAATTTATATCTGGGTATTTTCCAACAAAAGTTGAAATTGTATTACAATCAGTCTATAGTAGTTACAGATGTAAGCTGAGTTGGAGATGTTTGATAGTGTTTTTAGATGTGATGTTAGGTATTTTGGAGTGTTAATATTTTTTGTCATCTTTTATTTTGGGTCTCCATTCTATGCCCACTTGTTGATTTTACATATTTGGTGCGATTCTCCTTTTCAGTCCTAGCTGGATCTACTGTTATACAGAGACAGGATATATGGTTAATACATTTTTACTTGCAAATAAATTATCATCTCTTGAGAATAAAGTCAGCCAAATTTTTTTTCTTTCATGTTTTTCCATCTCTCTTTGAGGGTTTATTATTATTAGAGGCTTTTATTTTCAACCTTATATGATGTCACAGCATGTGGTCTGAACATCTACTAATGAAGTTCAGCTTTACAATTATCTATAGGTAGAAATTTAAATATCAATGGATAGGGAAAATTATAACCTATTTACATCAATGTATAGTGAATAAAGTGGTGTGAAGTAATTTATGGTTTTGCGGGGAAATGATTAGATAGGGCTCCTGAAGAAGAGAACAGTGAAATCTAATGAAACATTTAGAATACTTGGGAACAAACTATAGATCTGGTACTTCTTTTTATAGTTGCTTAAAATATTTTTTATCATTTCTGAAAATGCTTTAGTTATCAGTTAAATTCATTTTAAAGCTATTTTCATCTATGACAGCACATTAGGTAAGCTTGATTTAGTTTAATGATGTTTAATGTGATGTAAAAATATTCTGTTGATTCAAGTACTTATTTATTGAACATTATTGATGAGTTTTATCATATCCAAACAATGCACATAAGAAAAAGAACTTATAATTTATTGAAAGGAAACTATTTATTAAATGCAAAGTAATCTCGACCAAGAATTTTGTTGACAAAAATATTATCTAGTCTGACCTAATGCCATTTTGAATGGCCAGGTTTTAGTTCACCAATAAATCTTTGTCAGTTTCTGTGTGTTTGTTTTTTTTGTTACCTGACTGTATATATAAAGTGGTACAAGCCACACAGTTTCAAAAAAAAACAACTGCAACTGAGCATACATCAACAACTAAATAATGTGTGCAATAATGATTTTACTTTATTTTATATCTTACGGATAGTCACAAACAGCACTTACAGACAATTGAGGTTTTTAAAAAAATGTTATACAAAATTGCATTCGTAACCTATCGCGTATTTTATCAGATAATATTGTGGAATTTACCAAAATATAGATAATGTGCTTAGTGAGGACTTTGAGAGTGCATGAATTATATGTATGAGTCAATGTTAAATTTGAATCAAAATGAATTCATCTACTTGCTCACATTTTACTGGCTTAGATTATTTTCAGTACCCTTTAGCATTAAGCTTCTCCTCAGATAATTAAGTCATAAAAATGTGTACATAAGTGCTTGTTAATACCTTAGGGGTTCACTTTTTATGTATATTAATTCTATTCCAAGGACTATATGGGCATACTTTGATGAGGGTTTCTTATACCAAATTAAATTTTATATGATATGTAGGGTCTTTCTTAAATAAAGTGTATAATAAATCAATCAAATATAACATTATATATTTTTTTTTATTTTGTAAAATATCTCTGGTTCCTAAAAGGATTAAAACCAAAAGAAAGAAGCATTCATTTAATAACAAACAAAAAAGCAAATTATGTTCTGCATTATGTAAAATAGCTCATTCTATGTAATATTAAAATATAATTAATAGACACTTGTGTAATTCTAATCGACTGTAATTGTTCTGTGTGAATGTCAAGAAGTTCCAATTCTGGCATTCTTAGGTCATTAACATGTGATCTACCTATATATTAAAACAATAATGAAATTAGTTAACTTAATATATCATTCTTACTTGTGATGATTAGAATTCATTTGATTCAACAGTTGTGTGCCCTTGCTGTTAGTGATAATTTTGGCCATAATTCCATTAATACTTCATGAGATTCGACCAACTCAGGTGATTTAGATCAGTCTGAAATCCATATATTAAGCTAAAAAATGTCTAAATAAAAAAGTTCTTTTGTGCTTAAACTTGCTTGTATAAATCGGTGTGTTACCACACGTCATTTCTCACAAGTTTAGAAGAATATCATTAACTGTTCATTAAACATATTTAATCTCTTAGCAACTTTTTCAATGTCCCCAGCTGGCTTACTCTCCATTTATAATTATATTTTATTAAGTCACTGTTAAAGCTCTCAAGTTTGAACTTGAATAAACAAAAAAGAAGCAAGGAACAGTCCTAACAATAACTATTGTAAGTTGAATACATTTTTAAGTGTTAAGTTGCTTTAAAAGAGTACATTTTGTGCTTAGAATGTTTAGTCAATTTAATAAATGTATAGACCTAAAAAGATACAAAGGATGAAATATAGACAGCGATATGCAGTACTAATATCCTCTCACATTTGAGAAAACAGGATCGATTATTTAATTTTTATCATTTAAGACTTTATCATTTGATGGAAAATTTTACATATAAATTTACATTATTTTTAAGAGAAACTGTTAGATATGTAAGTGTTCCATCAAGGTTAGTATGCTTATAAATATTTTAGGGTGGAGAACCAGAAAGGTTAGTATCTGGTTCAGATGACTTTACACTGTTCCTATGGCTACCTGAAACAGATAAGAAGCCTATAACAAGAATGACTGGACATCAACAGTTGGTCAATGATGTCAAATTTTCTCCAGACTTGAGGTTTATTGCAAGTGCATCTTTTGATAAGTCCATCAAGTTGTGGGATGCTAAGACAGGAAAGTGAGTTGAATTTTATGCTTTGGCTTATTTAATAATTACAATGTTTATAGGTTTTTGATACAAGTCTGGATTTGCTGCTGTTCAAAGATAAAGTTCAATGTAATCCCACAGATGGTCATATAGCATAACTGCATTCCAAGTACTACAGACAGACTTGACATGGTCATTGAAACTAAAGAATTTCATGAAATTTCTACTTAATGTAATGGTAAACAATCATTACCAAAATAACGTTTTATTTTTATAAGCCTGATTACTACAAAATACCAGACAGTTTACAAACAGTCTAATCAAAAATTTTTCAGCCACTAAAACTACAAGGAAACAACTTATAGCAAGGGATTGTTTTATTTTACCCACTAATAATATTTGCCTAAATCATATGTTATCTGTAAAGGAATTTTTTAAACATCTGATGTAACTATTCATGATAGTCTTCACTTCCAATAGTTTGAAAATTATCCAAGGTTCTCTGTTTACAGTGGAGCAAATTGGTATTTATACAACTAATTTAACCTAATTAGATTGGTTTCTATTCCCAAATTTATTAAAAGTTTTTACATTCTTAACTTTTCCCAAGTGTGTGTGTGTGTGTGTCTATATATTTATTAGTCCAAGTTTGATTTGAAACTGGGATGAAAACAGCTTACCTTCTTAAGTTCTTTTCTTTAATTAAATTAATATTAAGTTATTTTTTCATGAACATTTATTTCTTCTTTCTTACGTCACAAATCATATTGATTGGATTAATGAAGAAAGGATAGAAACAAGAATTGGAAAGAATTGTGTATATTTGAGACATTGAAATCAGATGGGCAGAGTTATTTACATGAACAAGTAGCTAGCTGAACAGTAGCTGTAAGTCTATAATAAAATGTATATAAAAGCTGTTAATTAAATCATGCACATTTGTTTGTTTTTCTGTACCAAGGTATTTAGCTGCTTTAAGAGGCCATGTCCAGGCTGTTTACCAGATCTCATGGTCAGCTGACAGTCGATTATTAGTTAGTGGAAGTGCAGATTCTACACTGAAAGTATGGGATTTAAAGACAAAAAAGTTGCAAATTGATCTCCCAGGGCATGCAGATGAAGTAAGTTTTAATGTTGTGTGATACAAGAAAATATGATTAAAAAAATGTAAGAATTTCAGTATTGATATAATGTTGCTCTCAGTTGCTTTTGATACAAGAAATAATATAAAGCACTGACATATGATATATATATGTACCCCAACTGGTGACTTATAAAGTATAATTATAAATGGATAGTAAGTTGTTAAAGTTCTAAATTTTGAATTTAAATAAACAAAAAAAAAAGCAATGAACAGTCCTATATATATACATGTGTGTATATGTGAAAGTTGTATTGTTATTGTCCAACAATGCAGCAGAATCAGTAATTTATGGAAAATATCTCATTACAGTGTTTCCAGTCGATCAGTTGATGATGAAGACATTTGATTTGAGTTGTCTTAACTAATCACATGAACTACTATAAGATTGTGTATGTTTTGTTATACAACAGTATACTGTGTAAGCAAACTGTCTTTGCTTTCTGGTTCTTGTATTAAAAAAAAGTTATTAATTTCACCTAAAGCAAGTATCACATGTCAAAGACTTGAAATAACTATAGAAGCATGTGTTTATGTGCATGCTAAGTTTGTTGCACACCATGTTTTCTAGATTCAGCATGTTTACTGTTACTTTGACAGTGGCTTTGTCTCCAAATCCCTTCTGATTTACTTTTTGTGTTATGAAATTTTCTTGAGCTGTAATTGTCAAAGAATTTCTGTACAAGAACATAAGAATGAAGATTTTATTAGCTACATCAACATCTATATCATTATCTTACTAACAAACATTTTCTAATACAGGTTCTTCCAAAAAAACATAATTGTCTTGTTTTAAGAATTTCAGAAGAAAATTTAAAGGGAAATTTATCATTGAAAATGATAAAAATTTTAATACTTTTTTTTTAAGGTAAAAAATGGAAACTTCACATTGCCTGTATTTATGTATTGTAATCTATCTATCTTGATTACTCACATTTTTTTGCCTTTTGTTTGTTTTGAAATATCACTCATGTTCCTAGTATTGATATAATTAGTGGTAGATTATTGTACTCTGTTGTAAGTTCATTCGTGCTGAACTTAACATGTTTATGGATCTATGAGCCAAGAATCCCTATAGAGTGCTACTAAAAACTATTCATAAATTATCTTTAAACTAAACATCGCATTTGGAATTTAGACCATTATCTTATCTGGAACAGCATGAGATTTTGTCAATGTCACATCTAAACCATATTTTGTTGTAGTCTGCTAATAATAATGGCTTTTGCTCAGTAACAGAGCTCATAATGTTCTTTGGCAACTAGTGTTGTTACCAATCCCTATTATTCTTTTGAATTTTGTAGAATAGATTAAACTTCTAGTAGTTTTCTATATTGTAAAAACCAAAAACTTGTACAATTCTGAAATAGTTGTACTTGTTTTTCTTATCCTAATGCTTCTTTTATTGGCTACAAAATGAAAAATTCTCGTTTGTAAGACAGTGGCTTCGAACATGAAATATTTCATTATTCTATAGAATATGAAAATCACTTCTCAGCACATGTGTGCTTAAAATTAACAGTAAGTTAAAGACAAAACTTTCTTACAGGTATATGCTGTAGATTGGAGTCCTGATGGACTGAGAGTGGCTAGTGGTGGAAAGGATAAAGTACTGAAGTTGTAAGTGTTTTTAACAGTACATTAATTCATGTTGCAGGATGGGTATCTTGAAATTAAGCAAAAGTGTATTTAATTTAAATAACAATAGTGATATCTTAAAGTTGTACAGTTGTTACATATGGTACTTGTTTGTTACTTTCTTATGATAGAGATGATACAGTAATTAGTAACTCAAAGCATATTGATTTAATTCTTCAGGATATTATTACTAGGTATAACCTCTACTGTCATTTTATTTCAGGTGGAGAAGATAACTATGCAGACTATATGAAATCACTTTTATATTTCTGTAAATAAATGATGATTAAATAATGTCATGGTTTTACCTGATTGGTAGTCGTTTATTACTCATTAAACTCATATTAACCTTCAAAAGATTTGAAAATTAAAAAGAAACAATTTCTAACTTCTTTATAGTGTAACAAAGCATATGCATAATGTATGTGGCTGAGGAATGTTAAAAATATATATAAATAGCAAATTCAGAAAATAATTTTATCTGAATATTTGTGATATACAAAATCTATTTTGAAAATTAATCAAAAGAACCTATACAGATTAGACCCCTTTTCATCTATTTGTATATCGAGTAGAATAAGAATTTTTGTTGTAGTCTTCATCTGTAGCCATTCTTTCCAAGACAATACCTTGCCACTTCACACAGACTTGGCATCTACCTTGCGTGACTGCTAAATAGATTTGCATGCTACTAGCATTGAGGCAACTCCCAACTAATTTCACGGGATTTAATGTGAATTGTGCTAATTCATGAAAGTGTAGTCGTCCGATAAAGCCCTCAGCTAATAGGAAGGCAACACACCTCCATGCACATTCGTCTAAATTTCATTCTTCTTGGTATTGTATTGATCAAACGGGTTCAATTTTCTTGTCTTAGTTAAATTTGTTAAGATTTGCATCCTTAATGAAACTTTGTATTTTGTTTTCTTTGCCTTTTGTTTCAAAAGGTTTAATTTTTATTGTACATTCAAAATGATGATTTATGGTTAGTCCTGAGTAAGTGACTTGCTTCACACTGGAACCTTATTTCTACTATAGCTCTTGGAGGTTTTTTATCTGTCAGGGTCATTCCAGCTATTGTTAAATGTGTTGTTGATTACCTCATGCTTACTGGGCCTCTTACTCCTGTCCTGTTGGTCAAAATTCTTTCTCCTCAGTTGGCAATGATCTGTTGGAATGTGACTTTCACCAGTTTGCTTTGGGTAGTACGTTACCATTCATGAAACAATCTTAATCTTCCTTTTTCTCTTTCTATTTCTGGATTTCATTCTCAGGTATGTTCCTTTCCTTATATTTTGCTGTGTTCTTTATTAAATTTTGTTTTATCACTCCTTGACCCATGTTTCTTGGGTTTGGGTTGTCTATAAAATTTGTACTGTCTCCTTTCTTTAACAACTTCTTTCTTATGCCTGAAGATCTCATCCTCCTCACATTTGTGACTATTTTTGTCCTGATTTATAGACTTTCTTCCTTTCCTTTTCTCGTTTCCCTCTCATTGGTATCTATCTGACCAGCTTGGGTGTTGGGCGCCTTCCCTTCTATTTCACTTTCTTTTTCTACATTTTAGTCCTTTTCTCTTTGCCTTCCTGTACTCCCTCTCGTAACTACACCTTTTTATCTGAGTCATTTCTTCAGATGGGCCTCCTTAGATGTTTTTTCCTTTGTCTGTTTGTCCTGTTCCACTTCTTCTGTGCTGTCCTTTGTTCCCCTGCTGTGGGGGCTCGTTGGGTGTGCTATTTACTGTACTTTTTTTCTTTTTCTTGTGTACCTATTGTTTGTCTGGCTCCATTTCTTTGCTCAATTGTCTTCAGTAAAGTTCCTTTTTCCCTGGTAACCTGGACTGATGTTATATGGCTTCTGTCCTCATTATCTTCCCAGGTTTTTCTTCTTTCTTAGCCTTGCCCTTTACTCCTATTTCTTGTCTGGTTCAGTCTTCTCACCTTCCCATTCTAGGTTCCAGACCTTCCTCTTTTTCATATTTTCCCTCTTACAGACATCTAGTTTGTCACTCTTGTTGTCAGTAACTACCATACATGTATGATCCTGTGGATACCCATCTCTTCTCCTGCTGTTGGTCTTAATTTCTGCAGATAGTTGTTTTTCTTTTCTCCACCTTGGTTTTTTTTCCTCATTCTTCTTTTCTCTTCCCTTTAGCCCAAGCTATGATCTTTTTCACCTAATCTGCAATCAGCCATGGTAGATGTGTTGGGCACCTTCCCACGTGTCTTTCTCAGCCTGTCCTCCCGTTGTTTTCTATGTTCTGTCCATTCTTATTGCATTTTCCCCATTCTTTGTTCTTTCCTTCACTTCAGCATCAGTCCATCTTGTATGTTTTGGTATCGTGAGGCCATTTGTTTGCCATATTCACAGCTTTATTGGACTATTTACTTCTGTTAGCCCAATTTTGTTCTTTCCTTTTCTTTATGGTAGCAACTTGATTTGGGGTGGGGAGAACTTATCCTAGGATCTTGACCCTTTCTCATGCTCATTCAATGTTTCGTACTTTTGGTCATTTTTTTCCTCTTGTCTCAGCTAAGTTTGGCCTTCTCTATTTCGCCTGCAAGCTATGGCATGTCTGGTCGCTTGGCTTTACACTTTCTATATCTTTGTGAGAGGTTCTTTTGCATTTGGGGCATCTGGCTTCCCTAAAACCACTCCTTTCTTTGGTGCATGCACTCATATGTCTCGTATTGTGGACCTTATGAACCCAAGGTTTTCTTCTTGAGGTCCATTGTCCTCTTTTGTGAGCCTCTCCTCGAGGAATTGTCATGGTGACTGGGCCATCCCTGCACTATTTCCTGCTTTACCTTACCACCCTTTATTCCAGGCTTCTCCTTTCTTTGATCTTTCTCTCTCTGATTATGGTATATTTCTAGGTGTGGAAAGGACTTCTGATGTTTGGAAACTGGCCAGGTATCCACTTCATGTCACTGTGTGTCCAACCTTCTCATGATTCATTCGGGATATGTTCTAATTCCTGTCTCTACTGGTGGATCACTTGGTCATGTGCCACTCAGTCTTTTTTGTATCCCCACCTTCATCTGTCCATACCCTAAGACCCCTCTCTTTATTTCCAGTGACCATATTTCTTCTACCCTTACTGGATGGGTCCATTAACCCCTCTGGTTGACATGTTAATTTGGGATGTGTATAATTGTAGACTCTTGCACATTTTTTCACTCTTGATTCCTCACGTTTTTCATACTCTTGCATCTCTTCTTCTCTGGCTCTAGAAAAGTTCTTCCAGACGAGCATGTGGCCATTCTCCACACTTTAATTTACTTACCCAAAACCCTCATCAAGCTAGGATAATGAAAAGTACTCATACTGTTAGCCCCAAATCTACCTGTGTCTACTGTGAGATGAGGTGTTCTACAACACCACCTGTGATATCCTTGTGGTTTATATATATATAAATTTCTCTTACTCACACTTCCCGGCTTTTTAAAAGTAGGGTTTCAAGGTCACCCATTGCATTGTCCCCTTAAAGATCCTTCCAAACTGATGGGGATCAGGACAGTTTCTTTCTCTTGGTGCCCCCCTCCCCCCCTTGTTGAGTGGAGCACAGGAGACCCTTGCAACTTACCAGCTCCTGGAGTAGTGGACCATGAAGAATCTTCACTACTTGGACTTCAACCATGGGGGGTGATGGGAAAAATAAAAATATGGTGAGAAGTGAGGTGGTGGTGAACCTGTTAGTATAGTGCAGGTCATCCATCACATACATCACTCATGCCAGTTTTACTGTGCTTCTGCAGCCTGTGCCTGTTCAGTAGAGTTGAAATGAGCACACTATGCAAGACTGTGCTCTCCTCCTGCAGCCAGAGTCTGTTCAGTAGAGTTGAGATGTGTACATATTACATATGGACCAATGCTATATAATATATCTTCCTCCTGCAGATTCAGGTAAGCATTCACTTTAAGATGCTTGTTATATATACATATCTGATATGTCCTCCTCCTGCAGCCAATGTCTATTCAGTACAATTGAGATGAATGCACTTTATACTGGACAATACTCTGTTAATATACTGCACTTATCCCACAACTGGAGTTTGTCACTTGGAGCTGACAGAGGAGTTGAAGCATGCATATGCTTTACACATTTTCGATGTCTCACTAATGTGTGCCCTCTTACCACAGCTGGATCCTGTTTTGTACAGTTGAGGCATGCACGGGAACACTTATTCCATATCTAGTGTGCCTTTCTCCCACAACTGGAGTCTTTCCCATAGAGTTGAGGTAAACGCATACAATACACAACTGTGATGTATCACTAATGTATCCTCTTCCAGCAGCTGGAGTTTGTCCCATAGAATCTGATGGTAGGGTTGAAGTAAGCATATAAGTTTGAACTGAATGCACCCCCAACCACATTACACATATTAATTGTCCGACAACTTGTGTGCAAGTACTCGGATGGTCATGTTCCCATTCTGCCCATCCCTGTGACACAAATTGGCTTTTTTGCCTTTTCCCTTTTTTCTATATAAGTGTGATGAGTATATCCTGGACAAAATAAGATACAATCTCCTGCAGGTGTGTCCCTATGGAGCCCCTGCCATTGGTTGTCACACCTCATGGGCTTCCTTTTGGCACTTACTGAAGGGAGCTTATGTAAGTAAATTTTGCACTGGTCCCTCCACCACTTCAGAAGTTAATGCATTTCTGATAGATACCTGTGCACATATTCCCACCCATCCTCCTCACTTATGGTGCACATTTTCTTTCTGGTCTCATTAAAGAATGAAGTTTACACAAGTGCATAGGGAGAGTTATTGTGCATGAAGATAAGTGGGTGTTACCTCAAGTCCAGTTGCATACAAATATCTTTGGCAGATGCACAAGGATGATAGCTAAATCTGTGTGAAGAGGTTCGTTTCTATCAGAAACACATTTTCAGGTAAGGAAAATCTTAAGTTTCTAAAATCATATCAGTTGATCTCTGAGTAACAGTAACTGCTCAACATTGGAACAATATTGCATCTCAAGTGACAAGTATGTATTTTATCTTTCTATGAATATATATATATATGTGTGCGTGTGTGTGTGTGTGTATATTTGATAACCAATAAAACATTATAAGAAACAACAAATTAATTAATTTAATTAATTTATTGCTTAAATAAATTTTATACATTGAAATAGACCAGAACATTTGAAGTGTAGATAGCATGAAATCTGGCATGGAAATTTATTGTTCCACTCAAAAATATAAGTAGAAAATTTGATTTCCCAGAGTTAAATTGATTAAAATAAAATTTAATACCAAAAACTGATCATTCATCTTGCTTTAGATAAGTGACA